TCGCACTAACATAGTCATCGCTTCAACCGTATAGGTGTACACTGTATAGTTTTCACGATCTGTTGCTACTTACCTAAATGCCCAAGACTCAGGTATAGGATCTTTAGAAGAATAACCCAAAACTCCCTTTAAACATAAATCAAGAAAGTCAAACAATGAAAGACATTAAATATGAACTATCTCTAAGGTAACCCGCTTTTAGTTTTTCCCAACAGAGTCGCCAATTCTATAATACGGTGGGAGAACTGACTTTACTGGTTTTGCATTTTATCGCAAATGTTGCGGTTAGCAAGAGTCGCCACCGACTTTTCATTTATCTAATAAAGGAAAGGGTGAAAAGAACATGAAAGACCTTTCGAGAATTTTTCTGAGTAAGGGGGGAGGTTATGAAAAGAGAAGGTGTTAGCATCCTTTTCATCAGTAGTTATCTATGGACTCTTAGTTGCTAGCTCACTTTGAAAATGCTTTTTGTGTAAGTGTGTTTTGAAAATATTTTGAAAAGATGCCTTAATGTAGAAAACTTTGTAATGATTCTCGTATCGTTGATAATGCATACAAAGTGTTTTTGTATTTGAAAATATTTAGAAAAGAGAGTGTATCTGTGAGAAATTTGTTTTGTTTTGTGAACAAGCAACTACAAGCTATCTACCTACTCGAAAGTCTTTGTTATTTTCCTGTTTTCCTTTTAGATAGTGATATCCTACCATTAGTTAGTAGGTAGCCCTATCATTGGATGTTTTTGAGGGACAAGCTCGAGTCATCGTACAGTCACGAAGGTAACTCATAAAATATTTTTGCAATTACCCTAAGGTATCAAGATCATTTATCGAGGCAGCACCGAATGGTCATTGAGGGACTATGATCTTTTAACCAAAGGGTCTTTTCTAAAACTTCTCACATTCGAGAGACGTGACTTTTTGTTTTCCGAAGGCAACAAGTGGAGGTACCTTAGAGGTGCACGTGTGCGAGATGTGTTGCATTTCAATTATGTTTATTTTGGATGTTAGGTTTTCTATCATTTGCTTTTAAATCTTGTCATGCACGCCTATTTAATCTAGCAATCAAATGTATACATAAGGGCAAAAAATAAAAGTGCGGGAAGTAAAAAATATGGAAAGTAAACTACGCAATTACATCGCTTCAGGGATGGGGGAATACAAACCAAAAAAATTGGGAGATAAAAAGGTAAAGGTTCTAATTAGCTCTTACAAACCATGGACAGTTACAATATTATAGAAAATAATGAGAAAATAAATAAATGCGTGGAGATGGAAGAGAAAAATATCTAAAACCCTGAAATATTCTAAGTAAGAAAATATTTTTGGTGTTTTTTTGTTTAGAAAAATAATTGAATGATAATTAAAGCCTAATTCTGATTATATTTTAATTAATAAAATAAACTTAAAGTGATTAAATTAATTAATTTTTATTGTGAAAATAAAGTTAATTAATTAAATCCTAAATCTAATTTTTTATTTCATTTATTTATTTTTTATTAAAAGAGTGATAAAAAAGAAAAATAAATAAATTAAAAATAAATATAAAAAAAATTATGTGCCTGCGCTGCAAGAGAATTTAAGGGGCGTGTTAGAAACAAAAAAAATCCAGTCCCATTAACAAAGGAGTCCAGAAGCCTGCGCTGGATCCAGTAGGCAACTTTCCTTGGAGTGCATCATGGTCATGATTGCTTTGGAGCGTTGGATTTGAAATTCTGGTGATCTGATGGTCCAGATGTTATATACACCATGCGCACGCTAGCTTCGTTTGTACCAGATCAAAACTGAAACAAAACAAATGGAAAAAAGTCATATGTCAGGCTCGAACCTGCGACCAAGCATAATTAAACCTTAAGAGCGCGTGTGCTGCCACTAGGGTGGCTTGTACATCTAGTGGTATAACGCAAACGAATGAATATATTACAAAATTCAATCATACTTTTATTTTTACACGTGCACGCCCAAGTGGATTTGAATGAGCCCATCATGTGATGACACTTGGGCCGCCGGAGTCAACCTTTCAATTGTCTTCTCCGGCCTGACCTTCTACCAAAACCTACAATACGCATTAAAACGAAAGATATAATGATCTAGATCCATTAATCATCATCCTGCAAATCCAATGAAATGGTTAAGAAGACCTAAAAAATGCACGCATCATCTAAATCGATATCCAAAAGCTTTTTCAGCCCTAACAATGGTAAAGCGTGGTTCGGGCATCAAACTTCACATGTAATACGTCCATTTTGTTCTAATGAGGCATATGAGAAAGTTAAATGGATTAATAATGAATGAACGCACAATAAATCATGGTTTTGAAATTTACCAACTTTGGTAACCGACATAATGGAAGAGTCACGTTCTGAAATTACCAACTTTTGGAAATTTTGCAAAGGCTATGGAAGAAGATATAATTCTGGTTGTTTAACTATATTTTTGAAAAATAAGATTCCAGCGTTCAAAGATCTATCTCGAAAACAAGAGGCACAAAGCAAAACGAAAATATATTTGACACTGATCGAAATAAAAAATAAAGAAAGCGAACATGCGAGAGATAAAGAGACGACGTCAAGCAAAGGAAAAGGAAGAAGAGGTTGTTGCATCCCCATTTACTGATCTTTCCATTTCTTCTTCAGGTTTCACTCTTTCAATGTTATCATGATTTCTCAATATTTATCATTATTACTACCACTCATTCTATTCATTGAAATAGAATTAAACACAAACTATTTCTTTTATTTCAAACTTAATTCAAATCCCTTTTTACTTGGGTGAAGCCATGATGATGGTTGAAGCAGAACCAATTGACTTGGACGAAGTCTTGAGCAATTCAAATTGGTGTGAAGCCATGAAAGAAGAACTTAGATCTATTGAAAAGAACAAGACCTGGGAGCTTGTCGAAAGAACCAACAAGAAACCAATTGATGTAAAGTGGATTTACAAGGTGAAACGAAAGCCAAATGGTGAGATTCCGAAGTATAAAGCAAGATTGGTGGCTAAAGGTTTTCTACAAAAACCTGGTATTTACTTCGATGAAGTATATGCGCCTGATGCGAGGTTAGAAACAATCAGGATTATTGTTTCGACAACAACATATAGAGGATGAAAATGCATCAATTAGATGTAAAGTCAGTATTTTTGAATGGTCCATTGGAAGAAGAAGTCTACATTACTCAACTACCAAGATTCGACATCAAAGGGCAGGAGTCGAAAGTATATAAATTAAGGAAGACTCTCTATGGTTTGAAGCAAGCTCCTAGAGCTTGGAATAAGAGGATAGATAGCTTCCTTATCGATGCAGGTTTCACAAAGTGTGTGTCTGAACATGGAGTGTATGTAAATGATATCAACAGTGGAAGTCGAATCATTTTATGCCTCTATGTTGATGACTTACTCATTACAGGAGCAGACGAAGCTGAGATAATGAAGGTAAAGTCGAAGTTAATGCAAGAATTTGAAATGTCTGACTTAGGGAATCTCTCATATTTCCTAGGGATGGAATTCAAAGACACTGAAGAAGGAGTATTCTTGCATCAAACAAAGTATGCTCAAGATATTTTGAAGAGGTTTAAAATGAGCAACTGTAATGAAGCTCTCACTCTGTTAAAAAATGGATCAAAGTTAAAAAAAGGAAACAGATGATGAGTTTGTAAGTTTGACCCTTTACAAACAAATCATTGGATCCTTGAGATATCTTTACAATACTAGACCAGATATCTGTCAAAGTGTAGTATTGTTGAGTAAATTTATAGAGAAACCACAAGAATGTCATCTCATCTCAGTAAAAAGGGTATTGAGATACACAAAGGGAACTATTGATCATGGTATGTTGTTACCAAAGAAGTCGAAGAAATGCACAGGTGTCGAAATTCATGGATACACCGACTCAGATTTCAGTGGAGATCAAGACGAAAAGAAAAGTACTCCAGGCTACATTTTCATGATTGAAGGTGCTCTAATCTCTTGGAGTTCGAGGAAGCAAAGCATTATGGCTTTGTCATCATGTGAAGCAGAATATGTGGTTGCGTCTTATGCTGCATGTCAAGCAGCATGGATAGAAGTGCTACTTGAAGAACTCAGGATAATGGAACCTAAGAAGATGAAGTTGTTTGTCGACAACAAGTCAGCTATAAACCTGGCGAATCATCCAGTGTGTCATGGTCGAAGTAAAGCACATAGAAATAATGTATCATTTTCTGAGGGATCAAGTCAACAAAGGGAAGCTTGAGATGAAACATTGCAAGACAGAAGTGGAACTAGCCGACATATTTACCAAACCTCTGAAGAAAGTCAGATTCGACGAGTTAAAGAAAAACATCGGGATAAGAAGTCTCGAGAACATGAATTAGAGGGTGTGTTAGATGTATAGTTCTTGTTCTGTCGAAATACTTGTAGTGTATGTCGAATAGTTTTGTATAGGTTGTAAGATTTATTCGACAGAGTCGAATAGATCAGATATTGCAGTCTGTCGAAATCATGTTTTGGACTTTAGTATTTTGTCTAATTTGATCTGAGCATTGTTTGCCTATATAAAAGGTTGTTGAGTTTGTAATTACAACACAAGTGAATAAGCGAAATAAGTGAGAAAGCAATCACATTAGAAAACTCTCAATTCTCTCTCCTCTCTCTTCTTCTTCTTCTTTTCCCTAAAATCATCTTTCTTAAAAACCCTCAGTTCCAACATAAATGAGTATATTTAGGCTGCAAGTCTATGAGTTTCTCTTTAGTTAGCAAACAAAAAACTAAAGTTTCTTTTTTATTTTCTTTTTCTATGGTCTTTCTTTGTGTCGAGGGGAACATATAAGCCATTGAAGGACTGTTCTTTGATGTAGCAAAATACTCCTTACTTTTATTTATAACTATATAATAACATGACACCATAATACAAAACTAAGCACAGAAGTAAAATATATATCTATTCTCCACATAACACTCACACAACAAACAACATTATTTTAGATAAATATCAATAACACAAGTTACTCATGACTACAATATCAATAATCATAAAAGAGGACCACTCTCAGGTGTAGGAGCATCACTGCTATAAGGTGCGATATTAGTCTGATCGTTAAATGGACAAAACCTATGATACACAGTCCAAAAGTAAGGAGTAGCCAAACACATGTTATACAAAGTCGTACAATCTATACAATTTCTAAACTTTTGAGATTTGTAAATACCATCATCTTTATTCAGTTGATTATATCTTTTTTCTGCCTCAACATTGTAACCATCTAGAAATATTGGCACAACAAGGAGAACTATAACAAGTGAAACAATGGTTTTTCCCATTTAGAAAAGCGATATTGAGTTGCATGGAGTGAAATTTGGCTTCAAACCACACCAATTTATACCGCTACAGCTAAAATTTATGATGGTGACTTGAGCCATTAATTATGCTTTTGTCATCACTTGTAATATGGACAAAGGATGCATGCCTCTATGCAATAACCTAGCCACATGGTTTCAATGTTTTTCATATGAGAGTAATATGACTGTGGACGTGGAACTAGTATTGAGAACTTGTACATGCAAATAGAAATTTGTCAAAAAAAAATATTTATGTTAGCTATACAATTCATAATTTTCACGTTCAGCTATTGACCAACAATGATGTTTCACCGTAAATTATAATATCATACTAGACATACATCTATTTCATTTGCTAACAACATAACCTCAAAATTGTTGATATGACTCATAATTTGTTACAAATAGATTGTTGTGGCAATCATCTAACATTCATTGGCTGCAATATATTAGGGAGATTGCAAAGTGTCAACGGAAAACTTCAAGGCTCAGACTTAATCTTGTATTGTTGCTCATCATAGTTAAATTGTTTCTGCTCCTCTTTCCTATAAAAGATGTCATTAGGTTGAACCACATCATTTTTGAAGTTATCTTTTAAAAAAATATATTTTTGGTTTTTTTATCAATTGTGTTCTGTTATAATAATAAACTATTATTATTATTACTATTTGAAATATCTAGTAAATATATATTATATATGAAAGAATTTCAAACTTAGCACAATTAGATGGATTATTACATGTAGTGAATAGTTATAACTTAAGTAGTATAAATAGCATATCTTTGGTTTATGTAAGTATGCAATAACTTTCTGAGAGAAATAAATTACTCCTATTAACACTCTCTTCTATATCTCGATTATTTCTATTGAAAGTTTTTACTACACTAAGTGTATATTTTATACTTATCACTTTAATCTTATTATTATTATTATTATTATTATTATTATTATTATTATTATTATTATTATTATTATTATTATTATTATTATTATTATTATTATTTACCCCAGTAATAAAAAACAGACAATCAATTAAGTGATTTATAACTAGAGTGTCTATTATCGTTATTATTACTTTAGTTCTTGTTATAGAAAACTCACAACTTGTCAAGTGCTCTATAATAAATATGACTATTCTTATTATATATTTAGTGGAGGTTTAAAACCCCACATTCTATTATCAACTTTTATATTTAGTGGAGGTTTAAAAACCCTATATGCACTTAGTAACTTTTGTATTTACTGGAGATTTAAAAATCTCATATGCAGTTACTAACTTTTATATTTATTGGATATTTAAAAACCCCATATGCAGTTACTAACATTTATATTTATTGGAGGTTTAAAAATCACATATGCAGTTATTAACTTTTATATTTAATGGAGGTCTAAAACTACATGCAAATACTAACTTTCATATTTAATTAAGGTCTAAAACTCCATGCAGATATGTGTTCTTTTATATTATATGTCATCTGATAATTATCTCCGACACTTATAACGGTCATATAATTTTTAACACACTTAAATTTTGGCAAGATATTTTTTTAATCACAGTTAACCTTTTTTTCTTTTTCTTTTTCCTTTCCCCAACGATAATATAACGACTAATTTTTCAAAATTACCTCTATAAATACTTCATCTTCTTTCATAATTTTCATATCATTATCAAAATATCTATCCAGATTTTTTAAATGGCTAAAATTATTCTTTTGTTCACCACTTTACTTGTAATTATTTTGTTTCTTATCAGTATTATCAAGCGTGAAGAATTAGATAATGACTTTGTAGCTTTAATGATAATTATCGTCTTACCATTACTAGTCATAGCTTGATTTATTAGTAAAGGTTTTTGAATAATATGTAGCCATGAATTTTGTAATTGAAAAAATTGATATTTTTTGTTTTGTTTATGCATTAAATGTTGATTATGTTCATCTGAATTATAGATATAATCATGTCAAATCTTAAGCATCAATTCAAAATTATAAGCATAATTGGGGACAACTTCATAACTTGGAACAATAATTTAATTGAATACCTTACATGTGAGGGACTTAACAAAATACTTGAAGGAGATAATTTTAGAAAATCGACAGACGACCCAGATGAAATGAAAAAGAGAAAGTCAAAAGTGAACATAATTTTCAAGCACAATCTTGATGATGGATTGCAAATAAAATATTCAAATGCTAAATATCCCAAGATTTTGTGCGACAAATTTAAAGCAAGATTTAGACATCAGAAGAAATTCACGTTACCCTCATTAATGGATCAGTGGAACAAGTTAAGGTTCCAAGATTACAAAAATGTCATTGCATATAACTCTGTTATGCACCAGATTATAACACAACTAGATTTTTTTGGCATAATCATAACTGGAAAAAGAAGTTGGAAATTTTTTTTTCAACTTTCCATGCATCCCAGGTATTATTTCAATAACAATATGAAACGAAGGAATTTACAGAGTATTCTGATTTAGCTGCAACCCTTCTAGTAGAGAAACAAAATAATGAGCTCCTTATAAAAAACTACCAGTCACGATCCACAGGAACATTAGCATATCCTGAAATTAATGCCACAACCTTTAATCGTGGGTGTGGTGGCTTTAATCATCTTAAGAGATGTGGTGGTCATGTTCGTTTTGATGGTACTAATGGTCGTGCTTACTTTGATGGTCACAGTCAAGGAAGATATGGCTGGAACCTTTTCCACGGTCGAAACCATTTTCTTGGTAGAGGATGTGGACGAGGTCATACGAATAATTATAGATCTCCCATATATGACCAAAATAATTGAAATCTTCAAGGAAAGGGTAAGTATATCCAAGAAGGTCCCTCGAGAAATTATGAGGATGTATGCTATAAATATGGAAAGAAAAGCCATTGGTCTAAGGTGTGTAGAACACCTGAATATTTGTGTAAAAGACAAATGACATATGTAGAGGAAAAAGGAAAAGAAGTCAATTTTAATGAGATTGAACTCAAAAATGATAATACCTATTTTGAGACTGCTGATTTCGTTGAAGGAACAATGAATTAAGTAACTATTTGAATAATGATTGATGTGCTTGTATTAATTTTATATTTGGACTATGTATCAACTTAAGAATTTGTATGTGTATCTTATGTTTGCATGAATAATAATGTTAAATATGTAGTTGATTTTCTCTCTATTTAATCTTATTTCTATTTCAAAAGGGTTAGACATGGAACATGTCAAAGACATTTGTATTCTAGACAGTGAAACTACCCATACAATCCTCAAAAGTAAGAAATATTTTACTGATATAAATTCTACTAAAGGTGTAATAAATACAATCTCAGGTCCTGTAGATTTGATAGAAGGTGTAAGAACAACATTTGGTTATGCAATATTATCTCTGAGTTTTGATGATAACAAATGAGTATGTTTGTATGAACAATTTTGATACTCTAATGTTTGTTATTGTTGAGTACTTAACAAACATGTTCTGCTTCTGATGGATGGTGTGGACAAGACATTAGAAGAGAAAGAATTCCACTTATGCGCTACACAATTTCTATTGAACGGTAGCAAGACACTCTAGAAGGCTCTGAAGTGTAAGCTATGTTTTTTTGTCTAAAGAAACCAGTCAGAAGATCTGAAGACAGAAGTTGCTACTTAAGTCCAGATACTGAAGACTCGTGTTTCTGAAGACAACGGGTTCTAAAGAAATAGTCATAAGATATGAAGACAGAAGTTTCTATTCAATTCCAGATGCTAAAGACTTAAGTTTCTAAAAACCCAAGGTTCTAAAGATAAGGGTTCTAAAGACCAAGTGCTAAAGACTCTAAATACAAAAGTTCTAAAGATTCTAAAGACTTGAAGTTCTAAAGACGCAAGGTTCCAAGAAAAGGTTCTCATAACCAAGTGTTGAAGACTCCGAAGACGCAGTTCTGAAGACTCTGAAGACTTGAAGTTCTGATGACCTTGTGTTATGTTCTCGCTTCTAAACTCACGCTCGCGGAAGCCTCTTAAGTGCCGAAGGAAAGAAGATAATGTTAGCGTGGTTCAAATAGTACATGGTACAATCAACGTTTCATTCCACTACCATGAAAGAACGGATGCATCACACGATCTTGTCCCCCATGTGATTGTTCAAGCTGCAAATGTTTTTGGAAATCCCAAGAGTATCCCTCAATGGATATATTATTTTATTGGTTGTATAAAGGCTTGAAAACTAAGAGAGAAAGTTGTCAATCAACGAATTATCCACGCACAAAGCGCTGCTTATAGTTTTCATATTTTTAGTCATTGTTCTTCAAATAGTTCACATATTCAGCTTGTGTAGAAGAAATATTCTTGTAAACAAAACTTGTATTCAAATGGTTGCTTGATTTTCCTTAAGGGACCAGATAGGTCTGTATCCTTAAGAAGTCTAGTACTTGCGAGTTTTAGAGGTTGTTAGTCACTTGCGGGTAGCTTGTGCATTGTAATAATCAGGTTGATTATTATTTGATATTCCTTAAGAGATTGTTAGGTCTGTATCTTTAAGAAGTCTAGGACTTGTGAGTCTTAGAGGTGGATAGCTTGTGCAAATTATAATCAGTTTGGTTATAGTGAATTAAGTCCTCGATTGAGTGAGGCAAAATCACCTAGGCGGGTGGACTAGACTAACTTGATAATTTTCAAGTGAACTAGTATAAACATACATTGTTCTTTACTTCCTGTGCTTACTTATTGTTATTATCAAGAGTGAAGGAAAAAGGATTTTAACTTAAAGGGGAATATTTTTAAAGAAAAGTTTTTGTTTTAAAAACAGAATTCACCCCCCCCCCCCCTCTTTCTTGTGTTTTTCACACCTTCAGAAGGAACATGTAATGCTACATTCATATTACCAAATGGGACAAAGTTTATCATTAATAATATTTTATACTCTCCAAAATTAAAGAGAAATTTGTTGAGTTTTAATAACATATATTGTCAAGGATATGATACTGAAACAACAAATAAAGGTAAC